ACTGCTGCGTTCCCCTGGAAAAAATTTTTCCAGTGCGCGCTGGGTAGGCAGTAAGTGGTCCTCTCTCTTGTACCCTGCTCAGTAGGCGAAGGGGCTGCGTTCCAGCAGACCACTTATCCGAGTCGCAGGCACCATAAAATGTAGCACCCTGCTTGTGGTTAACGCTTAGCTGGAATGAAATATTCAACGCAGCAACAGAGAAATTAAAATAATTATTTATTTGTCAGGCAAATAAATGAGAGGCACAGTGGTATATGATTACCAAGCTCTGGCCTGGCCTCCTGCCATTATGGCCAGCACTTATATTCCCTTAATCCAGCCCCCTTTTCTCCTCCTGTGGCTGCCTCTGTCCCATCAGCCTGGTTGAAATTCCTATTGGCTGATTGGTATAACCAATCACAAAAATACACTCATATCCTCCTGTCCTTATATGGAACACAAAGAGCTATATATTGTTACATCTATAAATGACAAATAAGTATTAATATATCTTACATGTGTCTCAACAAGGAATCTTAATTACCAGCTCACCTCTTGCCCTCCTTGCCCTACTGCCTTCTAAAACAAATGGTTAATCTTAAATTTTTATCTTGAACAGATGTCAGAGACCTTGGGTTCATATTCTCATGCATCATCAATGAAATATCTCCTTTTGGAGGTCTTTAAACAAAGGCCTGACAACCATTTGTCATGAGTGCTCGGATTGGCGTCTCATTTCTGGCAGGGGGCTGGGCTCAATGGCCCCTGTGGTCTATTCCAACTCTAGGACTCTATGATTCTATGAAATAAGAATCTAACACCTAAATTTGTTACTTTCTAAATCCTTTGCATAGTTACATTTAAACCAATATATTTAAGCTAATATATTTCATACATTATCATAGGTAACCTTTTAAAAGAATAAAGCTTCTCAAAGTAGAAAGGAAGGAACTCAGTAAAAAAAACAGTTTTTTAAAAGAAGCCTCTTCAGTTTACAGCCTCAAAATAAAATAGGAAATAAAAAGCCTCTTCCCCTGTTCATACTCCCCCCCCCTTCTTCAGCCAGTTGTTTTCTCTTCCATGTGCTCTTGACCTTTTGTCCTGTGGCTCAAGTTTAAGGCACATGGTTTTATTTTACTGTTTACTAACTCTTAATTATGTTGGGTCCGTAACCTTGCTCTTTAACCTGTAATTCCCCCCTTTCACGACTTTGAGAATTGTTTTCTGCTATAAATCAAAGGGGCCCCTTGTCTTAGGAGAATGGCCAAGGTTTTCTCTGCCTGGCATGAAACATTTGAAAATCTTCTTTAAGCTCTCTCTTTAATATACAAGCCCTGATCAAACATTAATAAAATGCAGGCTGATTCAGATGCCACAACTCCTCTGGCTCTGAGTCCAAGCCCAAGTCCCAGGCCATCACTCTGTGCACGGGACACAACTATCATTCATAAACCCTTGTGATAAAGCAAGTTTGGAAGGAATTGTCTAGGAGGAGAGATCAAGAGACACTGTTGTCAGGTCAAAACTGATGGGGAACCTCTTGTCCTTTCACACAGTGGGAATGCAAAGATTCTTCTTCTATTATTGGAAGAAAATGGTATATGAACTTTATCTGGGCATAACATGCTGCTAATGAAGAGATAGTTCTGTTTTTCCACAAGAAAACCACCATCCTCTAACCCAGGGGTAGGCAACCTAAGGCCCAGAGACCAGATGCGGCCCAATTGCCTTCTCAATCTGGCCCGCGGACGGTCCGGGAATCAGCGTGTTTTTACATGAGTGGAATGTGTCCTTTTCTTTACAATGCATCTCTGGGTTATTTGTGGGGCCGGCCTGGTGTTTTTATATGACTAGAATGTGTGCTTTTATTTAAAATGCATCTCTGGGTTGTTTGTGGGGCATAGGAATTCATTCATTCCCCCCCCCAAAAAAAATATATATATATAGTTCGGCCCACCACATGTTTTGAGGGATGGTGGACTGGCCCATGGCTGAAAAAGGTTGCTGACCCTGCTCTAACCCAAGATAAAATAAAGCTTATTTGAAGAAAGAAGTTGCAGTACTGGTTTTTAACATCCACACAGAACAGAACATAGATAACAAATTTCTTTTCAATTATGATTGGCAGTGGCAAAATATTAATATAGTGCAGATGTTCGCCACCTCTATAATGATAAGCCTAGGAGGTCCATGGAAAAAGTAACCAGGAGGATGTCAGTCTATTTGCCCCCCCCCCTCATGTCTGAAGTGTATTAGAGGGAAATCAAGGTCCACACAGATTGTTCTATACCCCAGTAAAAGAGACGCTCAATCCCAGATTCTTCTTCAGGAGCCCCATATTATTCATTTTGAATGCAGTAGCAAAGGCTAACACTTTTTAAAATGGGGGTGGTAGAGGATATTGTGGCTCTTCACTGGAATTTAACAATGGGGCATGGGACAAAATAGAGTTGCTGACTGGTGCATATGAATATAAACATACATGGAATAAGCATATAGGGAAGGTAGGTTATTGGCCAATGTATTATCTATTGTGTTCTCAGTCGCAGAGTCCCCCCTGCCGACATGCATAACTGCTGAGTGGAAAATGAATGAACACAACAAGTGCCTGGGATTTAAACAGCAACAACTTTATTGATTTCTGAAGTAGGAAGCTTTGGCATAGGCAATGAGTATGTATCCCTCTAAGCCACCCTGCTGGAGGACTGAGGTATGACAGGGTCTCTTCAGGGATGGAATCCTTGCAAAATGCAGGTTTACAAGGATGGCCCCCTAATGCTGAGGGAAGCTCTATGACCCGCTAGCCCTACACTCTTGACTCTTTGGACAGAGACTTCCCTCCAGTCCCCTCTAACGAGGTACCCTGTTAATGCCGACACAGGGAACAGTGGTTGGGTGAGTCACCACTTCACCACACCCCATTGGATGAAAGACTATAGGATTCCGCCCAAGGCCTAAACTGCCAAAGTTGTGACTAGTGTTATGAGGAAGGTGAAACCTCCAGAGCAGGGGAAATTCCTTCCCGTCTCTGAATATGGCAACTGCCAAAAGACCACACCAAAGCCTGGCTAGCTGAAAAGAAATGGTCAGAGCAGTAATCAACAATTAATGAAGGGTGGGTGATGCTCCCAGTCAACTGGATACTATGCAAAAAGTGGTCGGCCAAGCTAAGTAGATGGCCATGCCCCCCCCTCCCCAGGCCTCTGTGGATTAGCTCGTTTGAAGGATGGGTTTGACGGGAACCAGTGAGCTTCCTGTGGCGGGAACCTGTGGCTCTCCAGATTGTTGTTGTTGTTGTTGTTTAGTCATTTTGTCGTGTCCGACTCTTCGTGACCCCATGGACCAGAGCATGCCAGGCACTCCTGTCTTCCACTGCCTCCCACAGTTTGGTCAGGCTCATGTTTGTAGCTTCAAGAACACTGTCCAACCATCTTGTCCTCTGTCGTCCCCTTCTTCTTGTGCCCTCAATCTTTCCCAACATCAGGGTCTTTTCCAAGGAGTCTTCTCTTCTCATGAGGTGGCCAAAGTATTGGAGCCTCAGCTTCACGATCTGTCCTTCCAGTGAGCACTCAGGGCTGATTTCCTTAAGAATGGATAAGTTTGATCTTCTTGCAGTCCGTGGGACTATCAAGAGTCTCCTCCAGCACCATAATTCAAAAGCATCAATTCTTCGGCGATCAGCCTTCTTGATGGTCCAGCTCTCACTTCCATACATCACTACTGGAAAAACCATGGCTTTAACTATACGGACCTTTGTTGGTAAGGTGATGTCTCTGCTTTTTAATATGCTGTCTAGGTTTGCCATCGCCTTTCTCCCAAGGAGCAGGCGTCTTTTAATTTCGTGACTGCTGTCACCATCTGCAGTGAACATGGAGCCCAGGAAAGTAAAATCTCTCACTGCCTCCATTTCTTCCCCTTCTATTTGCCAGGAGGTGATGGGCCCAGTGGCCATGATCTTCGTTTTTTTGATGTTGAGCTTCAGACCATATTTTGCGCTCTCCTCTTTCACCCTCATTAAAAGGTTCTTTAATTCCTCCTCCCTTTCCTCAATTGTACCTTCGTTCTCGAACGGAATCTGCTCTGGAAGTCCGTTCTACTTCCAAAAATGTTTGAAAGCCAAGGCACGGCTTCTGATTGACTGCAGGAACTGCCTGCACTCAAATGGAAGCCACGTCAGACATTCGGCTTCCAAAAATAGTTCGCAATTGTTTGTGGCATTAGGGAGCCAAAATGTTCGAGAACCAAGGTACAACTGCACTATATAACAATGCAATTTTGTATTTGTATGTTCACTTTTAGCAAATGGTGATTTCACTTCTGTTCTGATCATTTTTCATTTGTGCATTTTAACGTTACACTTTATTATTATTTTAAAAGACATTATCTATTTTATGTAAACTGCTTAGATTACAGTGGTACCTCGCAAGACGAATGCCTCGCAAGACGAAAAACGTGCAAGACGAAAGAGTTTTCCGTTTTTTGAGTCGTTCTGCAAGACGAATTTCCCTATGGGCTTGCTTCGCAAGACGAAATGTCTTGCGAGTTCTTGCGAGTTTGTTTCCTTTTTCTTAAAGCCGCTAAGCTGTTAATAGCCGCTAAGCTGCTAATAGCCGTGCTTCGCAAGACGAAAAAACCGCAAGACGAAGAGACTCGCGGAACGGATTAATTTCGTCTTGCGAGGCACCACTGTATATGGGTGATTAAGCAGCATGTAAATCTGAACAAATGATTAAACAAAGTCATCTTGAGGGCTACAGGTTTGTCATGCCTGATACAGAGAAAGAGAGGTTGAGTGGGAGACAAATGGAAAGGCACATTTCCTCTGCTGCATAAACATTTCACAAATATACAACGTCTGGGAGAAAAGTATTATATAATCAGTTTGCCTGTCATGCTGTCTTTCTTATCCGAAGACATTGTGAATTCAAAGAAGCTTTAGTAATGTTCTAGTAAGCCATATGCTCCTCAAACCTATATCCAACCCACCTACTAATATGATAGATACAAAACATGTTGATAATTTAACACTTTTTTCTTATTAGTTGTTCCTTGCTGTTTAGTTCAGGCCTCATCACAATGATGTAGCATTTAGGGGAAAAGATGCAACCCAGCAACCCACAACAGGAAGCCAATATTGAGAAGATCTCTACAGCCACCATGTATTTTCCTCGGGTGCTCAGGTAGGTTGGAACAAAGGAGAGCCATATGCTGCAAAATGCTAGCATGCTGAAGGTGATGAACTTGGCTTCATTAAAACTGTCCGGTAAGTTGCGGGCAAGGAATGCCACAAGGAAACTGGCAATGGCCAAAAGGCCTAAGTAACTGAGGACACAATAAAACATGGCAACAGACCCTTCATTACATTGCACAATGATTTCTTCCATTACTGACTGCATGTCTAAATCAGGGAATGGGGGAGAGGTTGCCAACCAGAAAGTGCAAATGCTCACTTGAATGGAAGTGCAGGAAAGGAGAATGGAGTAGACTAGTCTTTTCCCCACCCATTTCTGCATCCTTGATCTAGGCTTTGTGGCCATAAATGCCAGAGAAACTATGGTGGTTTTCGCCAACACGCAAGAAACTGCCATGGAGAAGATGATGCCAAAAGCAGATTGTCGGAGAAGGCAGGTCACTTTCCCAGGTTGGCCAAGAAAAAGCAAAGATGAGAGGAAGCAGAGCAGGAGGGAGATGAGGAGAGTGTAGGTGAGTCCCCGGTTGTTGGCTTTCACTATGGGGGTGTCTCTGTGCTTAATAAATATTCCTAGCATCAAGGCTGTAATGAGGGAAAATGAAATAGCAACAGCGGCTAATGTAACCCCTAAATTTTCTTTATAAGATAGAAAATGAATAGTTTTGTGGATGCACTCATTTTTATTCTTGTTTGGATACTGATCTTCTGGGCATTTGAAGCAGTCATCCATATCTGAAAAATAGAACAAGGGGTGTGGGAGAGAGCGATCTAAATTCAGCGTATATTCATTGACTACAGTCAATTAATGATGGCAAAATGACAAGATATACCAGTCTGGTTTGAAATCTTCCCCTCTGGGCATGGAGCACAGTCATAGCAGCAAAACTTCTCCCCTTCCTTCATTTTCTTTTGACACCCAGGGTGGCAATGCACATTGCACATACCAAGGGGACGCACCTACCCATAAGAAATATTAGAATGAGAAATACATGAAGTTGTTTACGTTAGGAGAGCTGTACATATAGATATGCAGATCTACTTCAGTACACGAGGCTGGTATCTGAGGGCCATATTGCCTCATGATAACCTTCAAGGGACCATTTCTTGTGCTGGGTGGTGATAAAGACCAAAGTGGGTGAAGCAAAATGCTCATTTCTTACCTTTGTACAGTAGGACACATACATATACCATCCAGACTGAATAACTCAAGGAAGGCTAGTGTTGCCTGGGCACAGTCCCATCATACAACTACAGACATACTCGCAGGACTTGGGGTTCCTCATCTCTACACTCCCACATCCCCTAGAAATTTACACCTTAATTACCTACCATTTTTAAGCAATGTCCAGCAAACATTAGATGTGTTTCTGTGCATGGTGTCCTTAATTACGTGTAAAAAGGCAACATTTTTTTCCCACAATAGGAACAGAGATGTCTGGCATGTTGGTAGCAAAGTCACATCAATACTTTTTAATGGAGTTTGATGGCCCATCAGTTTAGGCAGAATAGGAAATTAATGCCTCAATTTAGAGCAGAAGATTGACATTTTTGTATTTAGAAAGTGATTTCCCTGACTCTTTTCATCATTCACAATGGTTGGGTTGGCCAGAAAAGGTAGTTTGTAGTTCAATTGCTGCCTTATTTGAAAGCACAGGATTTGTCCAGAGAACCCAAGAACTCATACCTGGTTAAACAATCTGTGCCACACAATTCCATCCTCATTAATGATGAATGGTTGTCCTTCAGGAGCATTGAGATCCACCCTTCCAATTTTTACTTTAAGGAATGACTTGTTTGGGAATGTGACCATATTTAGAATGTCAAACCCACCTTCCATCTCCCTTTCTGCATTAAAGGACACAACTTCGTTTGCTGGGTTGTTAAATGAAATGCCTTGAAGAAATGGATGGAGCTAGTTGAAAAATAAAGAACATTAGAAATGTGGTGCAAAATGAATTCAGATTGAAATGATTAACAGGCACAACCGTAGAAGGAAATACATGTATACTAAGAACATGTTGTCAGAGTTGTTGTCACTTCGTACTGAACTGCCCATTGAAATCAGAAGAGTGTGTTGTGAAATCATTACCTGCCAAGGCTGCAGACGGCTAGGTCCAGCACTCTTATCAATTACCATTGATCTGTGCTTGGATCTGAAGAGGTCTATGGTGTTCAGAGCATGAGCAATAGCATAGACAGCATTATAGATACTATAGCTGTGTCCAGTCATGTGCATTTCAAAAACACCTGCAGGGAGGCTGTCCAGCTTCTCTTCTCCAGTACATGTGTCATCATCCATCAGAGGCATCTCTAGATCTGGAAATAAGCAATCAAAGGCTTGCTCCCAGAAATTTTGGAGAAAACCATCTCTTTGTGTCCAATTTGGTTTCACAGTCTGAAGAAATTCCTTGAAACCTAGAATATCTTTTGAGTGAGTTGTGAAGGAAATGGCACCTTCAAAGATCTGAAAATCCCAGGATCTTTCCATGCCTGTCATTATGAAATCTATCTGTGTTGTCAAGATCCACACCTTTCCAAATGATGTGCTTTCTTTTCTGAAGGGATCTAACATAATTATATACGCTCTCAGCAATAGAAAGGTCAAGGTTTCTCCGTAAATGATAATTACATTGACATCTATTTTTCTTAAAAGTTCAAACACATTTGAAGCTTTGACCACAGGATCATTCAGAGAAGGAAGCTGGGTTTGTTGTGGGAGTCTTTCTGTGAAGGCTGAACAGATTCCATTCTGGGAAAACAATGGCTCTAGGGTCTTCAAGAAAAATTCTCCAATGTTATCATCCACAACAAAGAGTCCGACCCATGTCCATCTAAAATATCGAAATAACCTGATAATCCCCATATACTGATGGGCTTCATTTGGGACCAAACCATAAAAGGAAGATATGTGCATTTTTCTAATCTCCTCTGAGGCAAAGGAACCATATGCAAGCTAAAACAAAATGTATAGTCCTTGTAGAGACAAGTAAGAAATAGTCTCAGTGTGCAAATGAATGATTATACCACAAATATCAGTTGCAGGATTTTTCAGTAATACCATTATTTGCTTCCTAATCTGTGCCTGTCATAAGTTTAATTTACTACCTCTCTTTCACAGCACCCACTATGTTTATCTTGATAAGATTTAAGATGTTTCCCATAAAGGCAGAGGTATCAAGAGACAGGTTTTTGTGGATGTCATATGAACTAATGGGGACAACTGGAGAGGAGGTCCATATTGTTTAGGGAAGCTTTTAATGTTTGATGTATCACAGTATTTTAATATTCTTTTGGAAGCCGCCCAGAGTGGCTGGGGAAACCCAGCCAGATGGGCGGGGTATAAATAATAAATTATTATTATTATTTATTATTATTGGTGAGACGGTCATCTTTGCATTGTAGCATACACAAATGAGAACGAGGTGAATACCTAAAAGTTTTACTCAAGCTCTCATGGACATGCAATGAAGCTTAATATTGGAATCGTAGACGTGATGAGGTGGAAAGGATCCAAAAGTCAACCAAAACAAGAACGTCCAGAACTGTAGGATTACAATCTTAACCCCACTCCCAGCACACACACCCCCAAATAGACACTGGAAGAAGGACAGGGAAGGAAAAGGAAAAGTAAAATCAAAATTCAGATACCAGTTTCTAAACAGCTGTTCCTATAATGGCTAAATGGCACAGTTTGGGGTGCTGGGCCTCCAGAAAAGCAGATGAAATGAGGCCTGCTTCCTGTCTCTCCCACTGATGGAAGGGCTGGTTGCCAGTGAGAGTTAAGGGACAGGAGGACTGACAGACCTAGCTGGTCACAGTGGAGCCAGTGGAGTGACTATTGCTTCCTAGTTCTTGTTCTGCTGGAACAGCGTGTATGTTAGGACAGGCACATTGGTGTCATGGCAGCCATGAAATCCTGGACCATTCATTACTCAGTGGCTTCTGTGTGGATGCTTAGAATAATCAGGAGAGTCTGCAACATCATATCGAAGCCATCTTCCTCTTACCTACTCACTATGTCACTCTCCCAACGCTTACCTGTGGAATCTTGTAGAGTCCCAAGATTTCTGCCACGTGGAAGGAGGTAGAAAAGCCCAGTCCACCAATGATGGCTTTGATGTTTTTCTGACGACCACATTCAAAGTTGGGGACAAATCTATGCAATTTGAAGAGCAGGGCTAGAGTGTTTTGATAGGTCATCCTCACATCATGGTAGCTGTCATAGATGTGGAAACCAAGTGTGACATTGGGCAAGAGCTTGGGGTTCTCGTTGATCTCCTTTATGGCAAAGGCCAAGGCCAGAGAGTGCTGGTAGAACTTGGTCACCGTGCTGGCAATAGAGTTAAGCAACAATTTCAGAAGAGAATTCTAGCACTCATTCAGGTCTAATACCACAAATCATGGCGCAAACCATTGTAGTAGTATGAGGTGCATAGGAACCCATGCTTTACCAGAGCACAATGCCATAAAAGAGAACTGCGTGTTATGTTGTGTGGCTGTGGCTGTGACTTCTTCTCCTGTCTTTATTGTGTGTATATAGTGTTGAGTGTATGGCACATTGGTGTAAATCAATAAATAAAAATGTGCAAATGACTGGCAGCATATTTTTCATATTTATTTATTCATTTTGCAGATTATTTCACAAGACTAATCACCCCAAATTCCTTTGGGAAATGGATTCATTGGTAGATGTCTGTGTGTGTTGAAGCGGGGGGGGGTGATATCTGTAATACATACATAAGGCAAATACATTAGTAAAGTGCAAAGGAAATAAATGAACTGAGATGGAGGAGGAGCCCTAGTTTGGACCAATCATACCTAATCATGTGTCATCAACTCTGACAACAGCCTTCCAGGGTTTCAGAAATGGAGTCCCAGTCCTATCTGGAGATGCCAAGCATTGCACCTTGAACTTTCTGCATACATATCCTTTATGGATGGTCTATGGCCCTTCCTACATGTGCATTTGTTGAACATCCTGCCACTCATATACACCATCTTTGAGATCTGGAAAAACTTGTAAGATGGGTGACTTACTGGGTAACATCAAACAATTTCTGAGAAGGATGCTCATTGAATGAAATTCCATGGAAAACATACATGATTTGAGATCCAAGACCACCAATGAGGATGCCACCTGGCTGGTACCATTCATGTGGAACAGGGACAGGGTCAGATGTGGGGCATTTCATAGTCTCTTCTTTGCACACAATGGGAGACAATAGAAGCAGGAACATTAGACGCCACAACATCCCAGCACCCAGCCCTGATTCTACCATGTCCCCCTGTAGCAGCTGCATGGTGTCAATGCACCTCTTAGAATCAGCAGAGATATAACTGCAAGCCTTGAATAAAAGCAGACATCACAAATTATCCAATTTGAAGTCTGGGTTGTAAGACACACAAACACAAGGCAGAAATAGCATAAAACAAACTTGCAGAGCCATGCCTCCCTCTTTGCCCTTCCTTCCAACTCTCCATGGTACAGGGGTTTATTTATAACCACTTTCAGGCTTGCATATCCTTTGTTTTCTCATGTCTTCTGTAAAGCCTCTGGAACTTCAGACATGTGAACAAATTATAGTGCTTGAGATAATTTGGGGGTGGAATTTTCTCTTTGTGGAGAGGATATTTAGTGAAACTTTTTGTAGGAGGCATGTTTTTTTGAAGTCAGACCACAAGTCTTCTCTGCTCTCTAAAGGGAAATGGGGCTTTATGGTGAAGTCATTGGTTTGAGTAGAGAACACAATATACTGGTAGACCTGGAAGGTGTGGAAACAAGTTTTTTTTTTTTTTTGCTTCATAAGAAGATGAGAAGTACAGGTTCCATATTTTGAGGGTGAGCAAACACCAACAAGAAACTGATCTCCTCATTTCATCCATGAGGTCATGGTAGCAGACCAGAATCCAATGTGCCCTACACCTGACATCATATA